CAGCAGACATCCCTTATTGAGCACCTACTGTGTTCCAGGCTCTGGCCACAGCAGCTGTCAGCGTGAGGATGAACAAGCTCAAAAGCCCGGTGCCCGTACACAGCTCCCAGGCAGGAGCTCAGCCCTGCTGTGATGGCGGCCAGTGATGCCTGCACAGTGTCACCCTGTCACTTGGGTCTGGGGAACCTAACATCTTTTCTCTGTTTGCGGGAAACTCTACCTAAAGGGAAATCTTTTTCACAGTAATTTCATGAAATAATTTGCACAGAAAGCACATGAGTACATCGAAATTGAACCTCTTCTGTCCGTGGCCGTGAACTTCCTGCCCTTTGTGCATCAACCATTTTGTTCCTGTTTTTCCGGTGACAGCCCCTCCCTGCCTGGGAGGGTGGTGGACGGAGGCAGCGGCTGCCCCTCCACCAGGCAGCCAGCTGCGCCGCACAGCTGTGGGCACCTGCTGGAAAGCGGGCTCCACTCACTTCAGGTTTCCTGGCAAGGAGCTTCTCGCTTAAATTTATTTAAGAGAAGCTGCCTCCGTTTCTGTCTCAGTTACCTGAGTCCTGGGGAGCCGCACAAAATGTGGATGTGAGGGGCCCTTCACAAAAGGACCGGCGGTGAGAGGGCGCTTCAAACAGGACCAGGTGCGCTTTTTTGTATCCTTTGGCTTGGATTCCTAAAGCCTGAAAAACGGCTTCACCATGATGCTTGGGGCAAATTCAATGCTGTCGGGAGACACTGCAGTCTCCTCACTGTTCAATGAAAGCCAAAGCCTCAGGGGAGCTGACGGAGAAGGAATTCCCCCTGTGCGCCTCTGTTCTGCCTGCTATCCTTCCCACCTCGGCCCAGCTCGGGTTACAGGGGTGTCATTCAGCAGCAACCCCTTCAGACGTGTGTGGACTCAGCTTTGTCTTCAGGGCCAAAACGGCCTCTAGTTGTGCTCCCTGGGGTCTGGCTGCAGGTGGACGGGCTGTCCACACCTGCGTGTGGAGGACCTGGTGACAGAATGGCAGCCCAGGGAGTGGGCCAGGGGACGAAGCCACAGCGAGCCTTGCTGGGCCCCAGGAGCTCCTGGCCAGTGCTCTTGGCCGCACATTTGCTGTAGAGAATAATAACAGCAGGATTCAGTGAGGTCCGCTCTGTCTGAGACCCCCGGTTAAGCACCTATTCCACACTGCCTCTACTCCAAGAAACAGTTCTACAAGCAAGAGTTTATTATCCTCATGCTGCAACTAAACTGAGGCTCAGAGAGGTTAAGTCATTTGCCTGAGGTCACACAGCTAGTAAGTGGGGATGTGGAATGCCAACAGTACCCGGTCCCCCGGCCGCCTATATGCCCCACACTGCACGGTCTCCCCATCAAAACTCCAGTCAAGGAGAGTATGTTACCTGTGGATTTTAGGCCAGGACAGGCCCAGCACCACCTCAGCTCAAATGCAAATGCAGCTGGTTTGGACAGTGGGCCACCAGCAGGTTACACCAAAGAGTCATTGGCAGAATTCTCCAGTTTTAATTATACAAGTAGTTCTTACTATAGAACACGCTAAAAGGAAAATTAATCCCAGAAACCATATGATGACATAGTAAATTTTTATCATGGTTTGTCTACCAAACTGTTACGTAGGTACACACACATCACCTAACACATGGAGGCATCCTCTGGGGGGCTGGCCCAGACAGCTCCAGGCAGTGGAGTAGACACCCCCAAATTCTCAAAACTTCTTCCAAGTGAGCCAGAGCCACTCACATACCACAGCTGTGTGAACAGCGCCCACTAGGACTCCAGCTAGAATTAAGCAAAGCCTAATTCTGATGAGAGTAAAATGCATACAAGGGGCAGAGCCCTTGAGACCACCTGCCCTCAAAACTGCCTCTCAACCTCGCCTTGACCTGGCCCTGCCTCATGGGGGCGCTAGTGAACAGTGAGAACAGACAGCTGGCCCTGTTGAAGGACTTTGGAGACACCCTTCCATGACTCATTGAACAAGTTTTTATAGACTGGAAAATTAAAAGCCAGTGACCCATGCTAGGAAAGGCCATGAGTGAGTGGTAGAGACAGGCAGTGACTTTGTTGTTTGATTCCCGCCTCCAATCGAAGCTCCATTCAGTACTACCTCTAGTTCACACATGAGAAGATGGGGTCACTGGACCACTCACCACTCCTACCTCTGCAGCTTTGAGCAAGACATGGACTCCTGCCAACCTCGGGGGCTGGCAGCAGCTGGGAGGGCTGTTGTGGAACCTTCCACGCTGCCGTGGAAGCCTGTGAGGAAGAGCGGGCACCCCACCTGCACATGGTGGAGACATGCCCCATGCCAGCCTTTCTCCCTCGGCCCCAGAGCAGGCTGCCCAAGGCAAAGACCTTTCAGAGGGGACACCTGTCTGCCGGGTCACACTGAATGCCTGAGTTATACGATGGTCATTGATCATTTCCAGGCAGAAACCTTGTCAATTCTGCGCTTGGATTTAATAGACCCACAGGATGAAGCCCTGGCCCTTGTGTGATTTTCACATGCATATCAGCAGCACTCACAGAAGACACGGAAGGCCTTCCTGGCACTCACGCAAGGCTGAGTCCATAGCAGCAGTGACTCAGTGGGGCTGACTCTGCAGTCGGCAGGGCGCAGCCACCTCAAGAGATGCAGGGGAGTGAGGTGGGCTCCTCCATCCATCTGTAGTTTCCTCCCCAGGAATCCAACAGCCCTGCCCCATGCTCTCCTCCCCGGGAAGGAATAGGAAGATGCCTGTCTTTCCCTGCTGAGTACAGCTAGTGCTCGACTTATGACCACGGTTGGGACCGCGGACCGGTCGTAACACGATTTGGTCGTAAGTTGAGTAGGCTATAGGTACAGTTGAAATGGTGCATGCGGAGATGGTAGTGCTGCCAGAAGCTGGTCTGCACTGTCGTATGCCCAGCTGGGCAACGTTTGCACTGCCAGACACGGAGCAGTCGTGGCTAGCGATTGTGGTCGTAAAGTCGAGTGGTCATAAGTTGCATAGGTGGTAAGTCGATCAATACCTGTATTTGTTTTACAGTAGGTGGCACCATGGCCAGTGGCCCCAAAAAAGATATGAAGAGAAAAGAGATGTTGGTGTGTGGTCTGCAGTGCACGTCAGCAGTCAGCAGATGTATCCTTTTTTTTTTTTTTTTTTTTTTGAGACAGAGTCTTGCTCTGTTGCCCAAGCTACAGTGCAGTGGTATGATCTCGGCTCACTGCAACCTCTGCCTCCTAGGTGGAAGCGATTCTTCTGTCTCAGCCTCCCAAGTAGCTGGGATTACAGGCGCCCACCATCACACCCGGCTAATTTTTATACTTTTAATAGAGACAGGGTTTTGCCATTTGGGCCAGGCTGGTCTCGAACTTATGGCCTCAGATGATCCGCCTTGGCCTCCCAAAATGCTGGGATTATAGTTGTGAGCCACTGCACCTGGCCCTCTGTTCTTAAGTGGGCCTCATACATGCAAATAGTCACAGAAGTTAACCCTGATTATATGGTAAGCCCATTTTCCCAGGGAGCAGGGTTTCTTTTAAATTATGTAATCCATTTAGATGTAAAAGTCTCTAGAGTATAAGTGGACTCGTCAAATGCCTGCCTAATAAGTAACTTATTGAGGTAGTTATACGTTGATCTTTAAAGTTATGCATTATAAATATTCAAATTGAGGAATGTTGCCGTTTTCTCTAATGTGTTATAAAATGGAGCCTTGTGAAATTGATGCTTTGAGGTCAACACTGAACATAAGTAGTTTTGTATGGTGCGACCTATGATTGCAATGTTGGTCTCACCGGGTGGCTCCGCACAGTAGGTCCCAGCGTGCAGCCAGCATCCTCCCAGATGCCCCCAACGCCAACAGGCGGGAGAAAAATACCTCCACATGGTGGTGGGCACCTGCAATCCCAGCTATTTGGGAGGCTGAAGCAGGGGAATTGCTTGAATCAGGGAGGTAGAGGTTGCAGTGAGCCAAGATCGTGCCACTGCACTCCAGCCTGGTGACAGAGCGAGACTGTCTGAAAAAAAAAAAGTATAAAGGGGAGGGAGGGAGAACAGAACCACAGAGCAACACAGGTCCACTCCGTGGGAATCGAGGCCTCTGCTCAGCTCCGTTGACCTGGTTTTGGCAAACACACCGCCTCCTCGTGCTGCAAGGGCTGGAGATGCCAGCAGCCAGGGATGTGTCAAGTAACATTGTCAGCCACATGCCAGGGCGTGACTCTGGTATGCAAGAAAGGTTGTACTTTCTTTTACTTAATTCTAAGCCCCTACCCTCCAGGCTTATGGGAAATTCAACCCCAGTCATTACTGGGCTCTTCTCCATGTCCAAGACTGGGCAAAGGCCCAGAGCCTCACACAGCAGAAGGTGCTGGGGAGACCTGTGGTCATCAGGCCAGTCCTTCCTGGGGGCCACCAAGCCACGCTGCTCACCATCTTAAAAAACTTCAGAGCCTGGAGCAGAGGTGGGCGGTGGAATGCAGCAACCATGAGTTAATGTTTCAGAAAGTGTCTTACCTCTTAGCCTCCCCTGGCTGCCGTCACCAAGTACTAAAGCCTGTGTGGCTTACACAGCAGACATGTATTCCTTACAGTTCTGGAGGTGGAGGGCCAAAATCAAGGTGCTAACGAGTCTGGTGTCTGGTGAAGGCCCTCCTCATTTACAGACCACCGTGTCCTCTCAGGGTGGAGAGCACGTCAGCTCGGGTCCCTCCCTTCTTCTAAGCACACTGTTCCCAGCATGAGGCTCTGCCCTCATGACATTGAGCCCTCCTCACCTCCCAAAGGCCACACCTCTGCAGCTCCAGCAGCGTGCATTATGCAGGTCACACACGCATCCCATCACATCTTGAAACCATCTTCCGTCAGGCAGCCGCTCCTTCTGCCCTGAATGATTGCAAGCGCCTGGGCATGGCACATAGGGTCCTGCCCAGGGGCAGCCAGTGTGCGGCCGTCGTCCCAGCCCCCACGCCAAGCTCGTGTAGTTGATCAGACTGTCCTGTCTCCCACAGTGCTCGTCGACCTGCGGGAAGGGGCTGCAGTCCCGCGTGGTGCAGTGCATGCACAAGGTCACAGGGCGCCACGGCAGCGAGTGCCCCGCCCTTTCGAAGCCCGCCCCCTACAGACAGTGCTACCAGGAGGTCTGCAATGACAGAATTAACGCCAACACCATCACCTCCCCCCGCCTTGGTGAGTGTCTTGGCTGGCCCCAGTTCCCTGGGGCTGCTGTGTCCCCCACCCAGTGAGTCCTCCCTGATGCTGAGGTTCCTTCAGTCAGAAAGCCCCCCTCTTGGGCCCCACTTGTCACATGAGGCTGACATTTGTCAGTTCTGTAGAAGAGAAGTTGAGAGATGGGATTCCATTCCTTGTTGTGAAAGTGGTGTCTGCATACTGCTTTCTCAAACACAGGACCCTGAGCGTCCCCCGCTCCCCTCTGCCCAACACAGGAGAATGTTCCGCAAACATCGTAGGTTTCCTGTGCATGAGGAATGTGAAGGGAAGTGCTGCTTTCTAGAAATGAAAGATCCAGGGATATCTTTGATGGGGCCATGAGGACGCACACACGGGCCACACCCTAGGCTGATGGTTGAGCAGCAGACAGGCATGGTGGAGGGGCTGGAGATTGAGTGGTTTGGCCCTGGGTGCTCGGAACCTGGCCTCTTAACAGTCCATGCCCCAGCACCTAATGATCTGGCTGAGGGTAGGGGCTCACGCCTGTAATCCTAGCACTTTGGGAGGCTGAGGCCGGTAGATCGCCTGAGGTCAGGAGTTCGAGACCAGCCTGACCAACATGGTGAAGCCCCGTCTCTACTAAAAAAATGAGAATTAGCCAGGCACGGTGGCTCACGCCTGTAATCACAGCTACTTGGGAGGCTGAGACCGGTGGATTACCTGAGATCAGGCGTTTGAGACCAGCCTGACCAACATGGTGAAGCCCCGTCTCTACTAAAAATACAAAAGTTAGGCAGCGTGATGGTACATGCCTGTAATCCCAGCTACTGAGGAGGCTGAGTCTGCAGAATCACTTGAACCCAGGAGGCAGAGGTTGCAGTGAGCCGAGATCGTGCCACTGCATTCCAGCCTGGGTGACAGAGCAAGACTCCTTCTCAAAAAAAAAAAAGAAATCTGATGTGATGATTCCTTCTAGCAGAGTTTCTGCTTTGCTAAATTGAAATCCTGGAGACATAATAAAGGGGATTTCTAGCGCCTTTGCTCCCGGGGTTGGGAACACCTTTGAGCTGGCAGAGATGGAGCTGTGGCTTTTGCGAGCACAGGCCTGCTTGGTAACTGCCAGAGCCATCCCCGGCGCAGGGCCTTCTCTTGGTTGACCAAGACCCTGAAGGATATTTGGGCCACTTTTATGTACTTGGACCCTGTGCTTTTAGGGGTCCTTTGATGTCCACTGTTCCGTGTCGTCCTGTTTTATAAATGCTTACAGTAATGGTACCCTCGGCCACAAAACGGCAGTAAATGGCACTTGGCTCAGAAGCAAGGGCGCCTGTGCCCTCTTCCCTGAAGAGGCAGGCAAACCACCATGCCCTCTCATGTGGTTGGGTTATGGATGCAAGGGTGCATCCCTGTGACAGCAACTGGCACCCCCCGTGCCCTGGCAGGAGACATGGCCTAATCAGTACACAGGGTTGATGTGTACACCAGGTGAGGGAGCCCAGTCGGACCACCAGCCCTCCCTGTGCCATCCCTGACCCCAGGTGTTCTCTACCTTTCCCTTAGCTGCTCTGACCTACAAATGCACGCGAGACCAGTGGACCGTGTACTGCCGGGTCATCCGAGAAAAGAACCTCTGCCAGGACATGCGGTGGTACCAGCGCTGCTGCCAGACCTGCAGGGACTTCTACGCAAACAAGATGCGCCAGCCACTGCCGAGCTCGTGACGTGCAGCCCGGGGGTCGCTCAAAGCTCAGACTCAAGGTCTGAAGCCTGGTACCCAGAGCACGGAAAGCCCGCCGTCCCCACCCCCCAGCGCACCAGCCCTGCGGCCACGCCTCCACAAGGCTGCCCCAAGAATCCAACCACCTAGAACATGAGCATGGACTTGACGTTTGCCATTAGTGCCTTGGTACTTAATATATTGTTAGCCACTGGATGGCTTTCTACAGCGAGGAAAAAATAGGTATGAGTCACAAAGTAACTTTGAGATTCCAGGTACCTCGAAGGGAAGCACCTCTGGCAGCCAGCTGTGAAGAGAGAGAGACATTTGCTGCTCCTGTCTCGGCTTGCTTTTGACGTTGGAACTCCCAGTGCTTGGTGGATCATGGAGGAAACAGCCCAAAAATGAGACACGATAAAAGAGGCTTTATTCTGAAAGCCGGCGACACCCTGGAGGAAAGGGCAGGTGTTGGTGAGCCACTGTCCAGTCCCTGTTTCTCTTCATCTGCCTTCTTGACCACATGAGAACCAGGACGTTGCCTCCGTGCCCAGCTCTGAAAACAGTCTCTAAACCCTGGGCGTTGTCTTGGAAGTCTCATCCCCGAGTGTGTAAATCTCTGCATGCCAACGAGGACACCAGTGCCACACAGTTCTCCACCCACCCATGGGGGAAGGACATCCAAGAGTGTCTGGGTTTGGGGAAGCACCTACTTTTCAGAGCACTGCTGTCCACCAAAGGGAAACAGAAGGCCCTTTCTTCAAGGTGCTGTGAAACGGGAAACGCTAGTCACGGCCATGGGGTTGCTTCCTAAGGCAAAGGTGAGCTTGGGCCACCCTTGTCGGGGCAGATGGGCACCTGCCCGCCTTCCTGGAGGTTCGGCTCTGGCCCACACTTCAAGCTTTGCACCTTAGAGATGCTGTGCCATGTCCCAAGGGCTTTCTACCGACCTTGGCCATTTATCTGAAGTTAGGACGACGTGTGGGACCTCTGAGGACGCAAGCCCAGGCTTAGGATCTGCAGAGCAAGGCTGACTGCTCTACCCTGGCATGCAGCTCGCTTTCTCCGGGGGCCACTCAGCCTGATGTGCCGGGACCAGGTGAGGAGCGCCGTGTGGCCCGCCCTGCTGCACACCCACCAAGCCTTCCTGTGGCCCAGACTTTGTGGCACCCATCACCGTCACGGCTGTCATCGTTGACCCATCTTTTTGGTGGGGCAGGGATGATGCATGACGGAGATCCTGCCCTCCTGCAGCCCCCACATGCCTTCTAGCTGAGCTCTGCCCTCTCCAGAAGCCCAGAGCAATGAGCAGGACATCTTCTTTGAGAGCACAGAGGATGGTAGAACCCCGCCTGCCCCCAGGAGGCCTGTTTTGCTCACTAACTTAGTGGGCATTTCACGGGTGCTTATGTTCTAGGAACTTCGCGTGAGAAACACCTCCATGATTTCAGACAGAAGGCCTCTCTGGGGTTAATTTCCATGGGATCATCTCCAAGTGCTTGATTTACTGGTGCTGTTTGTGTTTTTGCTGTTTGTTTGATGTCACAACCTTAGAGTTAGCTTAGAAAGAAAGCTCTCTGCCCTCTCCACCCCGTCGTCTGAGCTGTGCTGTTGTTGTTACTACCCCAGAGGCAGAGAAGCAGTAGGGACGTCAGAGAATCTACTCACTTCCACTTGAAGCAATGAGAAGTGCTGCCAGTGTTCCGTGGGTCTGTGGAGAGAAATGAGTGTCAGGATGGAGTGACCCACCTCACCCCGGGGGCCTGTGCAAAACACTATCCTCCCCTCTCAGGCCTGGCCACTAGCACACTCCCCCAAATCCCTCAAATTCTTGGGGAGCTGAGGTTCCATTTCCCTCATCCCCAAATGAACTGTTAATTCCACTGAAAGACAGACTTCTGCAGCCCAGGAGCAGAGCCGGGCTAGCTCACTAAGGAAGCCTTAGCCTGGTCTCCTGCCTGGTCTGGGGGGGCCTCTAAATACACCCCCTGGCCACCCTGGCAAGGGCCTCACATCCTCAGAATGAAAATGATTGATTGATAGATTGAGTTATTGTCAAACACCCCCATTAGCCCCCCAAAGTCTACATCTTTGGAGCTCTTTTAGCTCATCTTGAAATCCACCAGCCCGTCTTCTGTTTATGGCACGAGCAGTGATTCCGTGAACCCGTCGCGACATTCTTTCCCACTAGACGCTGATCACAGCAGTGAGGTTTCTGTATTGTTAATACCCTCAAGTACTGTACCTTTGTGCTTGCACACGTGTTACTAACTACAGTCTCACGATCCGATGGTGCTATTTTTATTGGTGCAAAACGAAACCCTCTCAGTTGACCACGGCTTGATATGATCAGAACAGGAAAAGATCCTCTATGGCAACGCCATTGTTCTTTTCTCCGTTCAGAGTCAAATGTATGTATTTTCCATTAGTTAACTTGCATTACATACTGTACCCATGGTATTTTTGTTTTACTTTTTGGTGCTGGTTTTGAAAGAAAAAAAAAAAGATGAACATTGGACGCCATTATACATGAAAAATTAATCATATCATTGGAAGCAAGTTGAATATGTGTAATAAAATGTTTTTCCTTAATGGGTTTAAGCTGTCTGCGAAGTAAAAGACAAAGCCAGTCCTCACTGGCTGACGGGGAGGCAGTGTCCTTCCCCGCTGTGGCGGCCACCTGGCTTGCCGTGGAATTGGCTGCAGGGAGCCGCAGCCTGCTGGCCATATCTGGGGTTGGTGTCAGAGGTCACTGGGAAATGCAGTTCTGGGGGGTGACTGCGTCTCCCTGAGCGAGTGCTAACAAATCTTTCAGCCCTGGCCTCATCCCCATGTGGTTGCAAAACTGAGTGGGGACACGAGGGTCTGACCGTTGTGCCATGAGCCTGCACATCTGGGCAGAGCACCCACCTCTCTGGCAGAGCAGCCCATGCTCCAGGACCTGTGCTGCAGAGAGCAGACCCTGGCCGTGCCGCTGGACAGCCATGCTGAGCTCTCCACCCGCTGCCCCCACCCCTACAACCCTGTCAGCAGCCCCCACAGCCTCCCTCCGCCAGCAGGTATGACAGAGGATCATGGCCCTGCACATCCCGCAGCACTGGGGACAGGACAGGGGTGCCACACTACCACAGTGGGAACAAACATGGCCACTGGGATCCCATCTCGGCCTGACAAGGAGCAGGCATGTCAGACCTCACAGGGGTAGGGAGGCCACCTCCTCCTGGAGTCAGCAGAAAGCTCCACACCACAGCCTTCGTGCCCCCTATTAAGACTAAAGCAGGCCAGGTGCAGTGGCTCACATCCTTAATCCCGGAGCTTCGGGAGGTCGGCACAGGAGGATCACTCGAGGCCAAGAGTAGATCAGCCTGGGCAAAATAAGACCCCTGTTTCTACTAAGGTTAGCCGAGTGCAGTGGCCCACCCCTGCAGTCTCAGCTACTCAGGAGGCTGAGGCTTACACCCAGGAGTTGGAGGCTTCAGTGAGCTGTGACTGTGCCACTGTACTCCAGCCTGGACAACACAGCAAGACCCTCTCAACAAAAAAAAGAAAAAACTGGAGTAGCCCCCATGAAATCTCACTAAAAAAATAAACTGACGGACAATACACCAGGGCCCGCAGCCCCCTGGTCACCGGAAAACGCGTGGTTTGTGTTAAGTCTCAAGAACTATCACCCACCTGCATCCAGGACGTACCAGAACCCTCTTGTCCTTCCTCCGTTCTGCCTCCCCGACGGGTTGGCTTTTAACTGCCCTGTTGACATGGGATTTCTTCATGAGCTGCTTCAATTCCTGGGTGGTCCCAGTGATTCCAGTTTGTTAGATGAAATTGACAAGCTCTCCATCAGCAAGTGTCCACTGGGCATCTGTTGGGGACCAAGCACTTCTTAGAGCCGCAGAAAACACAAAGGAACGGAAGTCCTGCTCAGGAGCCCACAGCCCCATAGGGCAGAGAAACCTACAGACACACACAGCTGGCAATGAGCCAGAGAACAGTGCTACCAGAAGGGAAAGTCACGACGCCCTCTGTGGGTTTGTTGACTGAGCTCGACACAGACTAGAAGGGCTGGGGTTGGAATCTTTTTTTGTTTTTCATTTTTCTGAGATGGAGTTTCACTCTTGTTGCTTAGGCTGGAGTGCAATGGCATGATCTCTGTTCACCACAACCTCCACCTCCCGAGTTCAAGCAATTCTCTTGCCTCAGCCTACTGAGTAGCTGGGATTATACGCATGCACCACCACGCACAGCTAATTTTGTATTTTTAGTAGAGACAGGGTTTCTCCATGTTGGTCAGGCTGGTCTCAAACTCCCGACCTCAGGGGATCCCCCGCCTCAGCCTCCAAAAGTGCTGGGATTACAGGTATGAGCCACTGCGCTGAGCCTGCTGAGGTTGTGCATTTCTGCTTCCAGGCACAAATCTACCTGCATGTGTGTTCACTTTCTCTGCCTAACAAGGCAGCAGTGCCCAGCGCTCCTGGAAAGCCAGCCTTCCTGCCATCATTTGACGCCCCCCTACCCCAGCAGTGCTCCACTCACCGCCTCACCTCCGGTCATGACTCCCCTGCTTTTGCCCTCTGCTCTACACCAACACGCTTCTTGACAGGTCACCGATGATGTCATGGCAGCAGGCTGCATGGACATCCTAGGGTCCTGTTCCCCAGCTCTCAGCAGCCCTCCCTTTCAACACAGCCCGTTCTCCCAGCTTCTACAGCACCGCACACTGCTGACTCTTCTCCCCTCTCCCCGCCATCCTGCTAGTGATGCAGTGCCCAAGCTCAGCCCTCCACCCTTTTCTATGTACTTGCCCCTAGGTCACATTACCTGGACCCAAGACTTTGTTTTTTCCTTTTTCAAGACGGAGACTCACTCTGTTCCCCAGGCTGGAGTGTAGTGGCGTAATCTCGGCTCACTGCAACCCGTGCCTCCTGGGTTCAAGCGATTCTCCTGCCTCAGCCTCCTGAGTAGCTGGGACCACAGGTACATGCCACCATGCCCAGCTAATTTTTTGTATTTTTAGTAGAGACAGGGTTTCACTGTGTTAGCCAGGATGGTCTTGATCTGACCTCATGATCCACCCGCTTCAGCCTCCCAAAGTGCTGGGATTACAGGTGTGAGCAGCTGCACCCAACCCCTACCATAATACTTCTGCTGCACTTTGCAAGGCCATCACTGTCGCCAAGATTCTGTGAGCCATCTGTCTCCAAGGGTCCTTGGCAGGGAGTTAAATCCATGTAGAGAACTCCCACTGCAACAGGTACAATTCCCCCTCTACCTTTATGTCCACTGTTCCTTATCCAGCACCTCAGATCTGCAGTGGTACACTGTCCTGGCATCTCCATGTCCATCCGTATTAGGGCCTCCAGCTCCCTTGGGATCTACTTCCTTTCCTCCTCCACCTGGGTTACACTGTGACTTAGGAATCTGTGGACAGGAGGGGAGCAGGGGGAGATGCCAATTCTAACTCAGCGTTTGTGTGATCGTGCAAGGCACAGGCCTCGGCACCATCTTTCAGCAAGGGAGCAGTGACAGACAGCTTTAACAGAGAAGAGAGGGCCACTCCTGCAGGCTGGAAAGAGTCTAGAGGATGTGGGGTTTCACAGTTTTTAGGGCATTTACTAAAATACCCCCTTCCAATCCCAGAGTCTCACTCCTTCCTCATCAGGACTCTGACCTGCACGTAGCTAACCTCCTGGGGTTGAGAACTCAACCTCCTGTCAAGCTTCTGTAGTCATATCATTAAAGCCTGGCCTGATCCTCAGCTCTTTCTGCCTTCTTAAGACATAAGGGCCTCATTTCACACTTCACCTTAAATTAGTGATTAATCATCTATGTGTTTTTATTGTCTTTCTCCAATGCACCACTAACGCTGGCAACAGCCACTTAATTTCTTTGCCTTGGAATTTCTGTTTCCCTGTATCTTTCAAATGACTGAGCTATTGCACCACCAGTGAAGGCTTAATCATTGCCCATACAGATGCCAGAGGCTTCCCTCCTGGGAGGCTGATGAGGGGGACATGGGGGGCGGGGTCCTCGTACCCAGCTGGCAGGTATCGGCAGCTCAAAAGTTCTATCTTAGGGTCTGCTTCCTGGTACCAGCTGCCTCCTTTTGGGTTCTCGGGAGCCAGTCTGAGATGGAGGCTTGTGGGCAGGTAGATTGGGAGGTGCCCTCAGGAATCCCATAATGAGGGAGAAAGGATTTGGCACATGCACGATGGGGAGCTATAGAGTGGAACAGCTGTCTTAACAGCTGTCTCAAACAGAGGCAAGGGGGCAGGACTTCGTATATCACAGGACAAATGCCATCTTGAGAGTTCACTCTATGCTGCTGAGAGGGTGCTGGGGACAGACTCAGCTGTGATCAGCCACCGCTCCTGGCAGCTGGGGACAGCCATCAGTCCTGAAGGGGGATCTGAATGGCACACCACACCATATACCACATGCCTTAAACTGAGATTTTTACAAATTAAATTCCCATTTAACCGTGGCTTCCCCAAATCAGTAAATGGTGCCACTAACCAACTAATGTCTGATATCAAAACATCAAAGTCACCTTTCTTTCCTCGGCTTCCCTTTCTATCCTCAGCCCAATTCAGCCACAAATACCACTGGTGCTCCTTCCAGAGGCTGTCTCTAATCTGCCCACTTCTTATCTCCATTGCCACATGGTTACCAAGTCACAGACATTTCACCAGGAACACGGTGCTTCCTGTCTTAGTCCATTAGGGCTACTGTAACCACCACCTTAGCCTGGGTAATTTAGGAACAACGGAGACAGGACGCTCCCAGTTCCGGAGGCTGGAAGATCAAGGCGCCAGCAGACTCAGCGTCTGGTGAGGACTCAGCCCTGCTCAAGAGAGTCTGCCTTCTCACTGAGTCCCCGATGGGTAGAAGGAGCGAACATACTCTCTGGGCTCTCTTAGTAGGGCCTCTAATCCCATTCATGAGGAATCCATCCTCGTGGCCTCATCACCTCGCAGAGGCCCCACCTCCCAACACCACTGCACTGAGGATGAAGTTTCAAACTCTGAATTTTGGGACGACACAAACATTCAGACTATCACACTTCCCAACCGTCTCCCTCAGACACATTCTCCGCACCCTAGCCAGGCTAGTATCGGAAAAACATAAATGTAATAAAAACATAAGTGACATTCCCTGCTTCACACCCTCCGATGGCTTCTCACCCCTGTGGTCCTCTCGGAGCCCTGAGCCCCCCTCTCCTACCCAGTCCTTCCCGCACAGGACACCCAGCCGGTCTTCTTTCTGCCTGCGAGCCCTCCGCCCTCTCCCCGCCTTCGGCCTTCCGCAGGTGCTGCCCTCCACGTCGGTAACGCTCCCACCCACATCCCACGGGTCCTTCCTCCGCTGAAGTCTCTGCGTCCTTCACATCTCAGTGCGCACGTGAGCCCTCGCATAGCTGTTGCAAGCATCCAGCTAACATTTCCTCCCAGTCACGCCTGCTGTCTTTAAGCCCTCTCAGACCTTGTGATGACCCAGAATTATTAACGTTTTTGCCTGTGTACTCTCACTTTCCCATCTAGAAGGCAAGCTCCCATCACCACCACCACGGAACTCACCTGGCACTGCTGTGTGGCTGG